TATGACTTAGAACATTTAATAATATCATTTATGTGCATTAGTGTTTGTCTCACATCTTTTGATCATCCACTAATGTAAATGCATATCATATGGACTTCTATCTAATTCTATTCAATCAATAAATGTAAATGACAAGAATTAATAGAAAGACTTCTTTATCACAAATCATGCAATGATACAATAGCTTAAACCTATCCTAACATGGTTGAATCTTAGGCATCTACACTAACACCTATTAGCAAACGATTTACGTCTTACAAGCATTGTTTGCTTCTACTCCTATGCCTCTCACTATTTGTATCATTTATGCTTTGTTGGTTGATTTTTGCTTTTACAAGTCACAACACTAGCTCTTAGCATTTTAACTCAGTTGTCGACTAGCCAGTCTAATTAGTTCTCAAAAACCCCATACACAAGGAGAATTATTTGTTCATTTTTCAAGAACTTTTTGTTGAGAGTTGAAGGTAAAAGTTTAAATTGATTGGGTCCTCAACCTATTTCAATAATAATAGTATTTTGGAGTTTTTTTTTTATCCATGTGCAATTTTATAAAAAATGAGTGGTGGGAAAGGAAAGGAAAGAAAATGAGGGAAAAGAAGAGCAATGGAGATTAATGATATCATAACCTTATTTAAGAAGAAAATTTTAAATGCACCCTCCAAAGCTTCGTCCATAATTTAGAGGATGGTAGAGGGAAGGGAATGATTTTATAAATGTTTTGACATTAACTTGCTATTTTAATATTTTTCTTTATTGAAAACATAATCTTAACTTTTTAACACATAAATCCTTTCAATATTATTTCTCACCTTATCCCTTAATCTCTAAAAAACATATAATGATATTTAATATTTAATATTCATCTTATTTCATTTCTTTCGTTTAAACAAAGTTCCTCGTTGAAGATTAACATTGATTCTTTCAAATGGAACTTATCATACTAAATGAGACTCAAATCCACAACATACCTTTACTCGATTTCATAGTATAAGAGTGCTCTTAATTTCATTTTCTTTCAAATACAAATCATTATATTTTGATACAAGTGTTTCAAATTTCACAATGAAAACTTATTACTTTTTTAGGTGTCATTAGAGTGAACCATACCTTTTGATGAAACAATATATATATATATATATATATAAGCTTTACGATAAGATTTAGATTTTTTTTAGACTTCATAAAATTTATCTTGATTTTGGTGCTACCATATAGAATTTGTATGAGATTTTTTATTTTTTATTTATCGAGTTGATGGTATCAAATTGAAACAAATTAATAGTAGTATTTTCTTAATTAATTACACAAGTATTTTTCTTAAATACTATAAAAAATCTAATGCCATTTGAATTGATAATATCAAGTTTAGAAAATTATTTTTTGATTAAAAATAAAATGTAATTGGACAAGTATTACTTTCAAAGATAAAATCCCATAGGAAAACTAATAAAACTATAATATCAACATATATATTTTTTTAAATACAAATCTCTCTCTCTCTCTCTCTCTCTCTCTCTCATATATATATATATATATATATATATATGCTTATTAATATTCAATTTAGTAAGATACAATTTTTTTTTATCTTGAACGTATTAATATGAACATTAAATTCTTATTTACAACTTTTTTATGCATAAATTAAAATTGGGTTTTACATATATTGAGAACTTGTACAATTTGGATTTTTTTTATTTATTAAAACAATTTTTTTTTATCTTTTTTAAGAGTTATAATCTCATGTTATTGCTATTTTAGGCCCTAGCCAATGACGACTTGCCATGTAAGCATATGTGCAAACTTTAGCTAATAACAACTTGTCACATCGGCATTTCAATCATCTAATTTTGGTCCATCATAACACATTATAAGCGAGTCATTAACTAGAGCTTGTCATGTATGCTTATGTGGCACATTAGGATCTCAAACAATAATAACATAACGAGTAGAAATCTTAAATTGAATAGAAAAAAAAATTAGGATCTTAATAAAAAAATTTGAATTATACGAGTCTTAATATATTCAAAACTTAATTAAAAGTTTTGGAGTTACCACAAAATATGTGGGTGTGATTGTTGTGTTATCAATTAAAAAAGATACCCTTTTGAGGAGTAACCAATTATATGAGAGCATATCATTATGTTTAGAAAGAAAAAAAGTAGAAAGAAAGATTTTATTATTATTATTATTATTATTATTGGCAAAGATAAGCCTTAGAATGATATGTCCCACACAAATGGTTGGGCAATCCACATAGTTTGTTAAGTAATTAAATCGAGTTTCTCTTTTCTTTTCTTTTTTCTTTTTGTTAGTTTGAATTTTAAATTTTGAATTAAGTATTTATAAAAATTTATTAAATTTTTTTGAATGCATCATATCTATTTAAGAGATTATTTTTAACATTATCATAAAAAATTTAATCACAATTTCTATACAAAATCATTTCAAAATATCATTTATCATTGAATTAAAAAAACTATTTGGTTGATATGTGATTTACATAATAATATCTTGACATTTGAACATTTAGAATGAATCAATGTATTTTTTTTTTTTTGAAATATTTTCATCTCAATTTAGAAATATAATTATATTCAAGGTAGAAACGATAAAATATAATCTTTTCTAATAAGTGTGGTTTTAGAATTCAAACTTTTTATCACTTATAAAAAGTTCGTTTAAAATAAATTCATTTACTAAATCGAACAACTTTCTAATAATGAATCCATCCTATTAATGTATTTGTCCCAGCATAAATTTAATAATGTAACATATATATATATATATATATATATATATATATATAATGTTTTCAATAATAGAGTGAAGACGCTTTTTTTACTAGTGAATCAGACCTCCAAATTCGGCTATAAATACCACCTCTGTTGATCTCCATTTCTGCACTGCAAAAGTACCATCGATCTCGCGAATCAACAAACTCTCCTTTTCTATCTTCAGTGATCATTCGTTGCGTATTAGGATCATATGCATTGGCTTTGAAACAGTTTGAAACCGTTGCAGACAATTTTTGTTTTTCCTTCATACCCTTAGTAAATCGCTGCATAAACCGCTGCATATGATCTTAATACGCAGCGATTTATTAAGCCATTGTGTAAAAGTGTTTTATGCAACGGTTCATAACCTTTGTAATTTAAAATGTCTAATAATATGCAGCGGTTTTAATAAACTGTTGCTTAAAAATGTTATATGCAACGGTTCACAACCTTTGCATGTAAAATTTCGAGTAAAATTTTTTTACTGCTAAAAAAATCAATTTTATCTCTCTCCCGTGAAGCACATCCAGCCTCTCTTTTCTGTCTTTCACTCTCTCTTCTGATTAAAATCACATTGTCAATGTATCAAGTAAATGGTACTTTAGATTGAAGTCTTAACCGATATTAAAAACAAGGTGTAAGAATTTCATAGTTCTCTGTTGAAGGATTGGGTAAAATTAGGCTGAAGTTGTATCTTCTTTCAAGTATGCCATTTTCATTCAATTTATCTCCCAAGGACTTTATATTGTATGTGATTTTGTTTTAATTCATCTCTTTAGGACCGGGTATTCGATTTCTTTCCTTACTGATTAACTTTTGCTGCTTTAGGACTTGATTTGCTAGTGTCAATGACTGATTTATTGAATTTCTCTCTTTCATAAATGGGTTCTCTTCTAGGTCTGCTTAATTTGTGTTTTTGTTAATGGGGTGGTTAATGGTGGGTATTCAGTCTCTTTCACAAATTGAGCGAGATGCTGACACTTCCCATCCACTTGAAAAGAGAAACTGAGTCATCAGGATGGGTTAAGATGCTTTCTTTTCATATTCTGTGTTTGTTCTTGCTCATCGAAACTAGTAAGCCAGGGAGTAATACTAATAAAGGACTTCGGTAAATTTAAAATAAAAAAAGTAGTTAAGGCTAAAAGGCTTCTTATGGATAGTATGGGGAAATAGCTATATGTACACGACTTAGGTGTTTTGGATAGGATATAACCTATGGCTTCTCAGTGTCATGTGGATATTGGAAAAAAGGAGGGTGGGGTTGGCTTGATATGTCTATTTCATGGTTTGTGACCTTAGCTATAGCTATATCAATTTAATATTGTAGCAGCAATCATGTGTATAATATTCATATATTCATGGAAGTAAAGGGTCAGATTTCGTATGTGAACTCTGTAGCTTTGAATTGTCAGGCAGGTTCACTAGGTAACAAATGTTATTAGATTAAGCACACATGATTACCCACCACTAACCAAAAAAATAAAAAAGAAGGAATAACAATGAATCATAAAATAAAATGTATACTTGTAAGGAACATGTCCCTTTAATTTTTTGGTAGGTTAAGGTTCTTAGGACATGTTGCTATGGCATTATATGCATGTCCGAATCCTATATATGTCATGCAAGAATGAAGTGAAGGCAGTTCTTGGTATAATTAAGCTAGACATAATTGCACAGGAAAGTTGATGGTGAATCTGATAACTGATGAGTACTTGAGTGACTCCATGCACTCTGGATTTATCTGCATAAACTTTTGAAGTAGAGAGAAAGTGAGAATCTTTTTGTGAGACTAATGACTATTTCTATTGTTTCGCTAGACTGTTACTACTGTTTTTGTAGGACATGTGAATCTGATGATTTGTATCATTATTAATTGATTTATTGCTGTTGGTTGCCATGAAACATTTTTAGAATCTTAATGTTTATGAGAAGCAGAACTCACTAGTGGAGCGTTTACTGTGTTCACTAACGAGAAGATTGAGACTCGCATGCTTGATCTACTATTAAAAAGTTTCAATTGGAAACTTTAGTAGTTACCTTAAATATTGATTTGATAGTCAGTTAAAATTCTTGTGTGTTTTTAAGACATATTAAATGATTTGTTTCTCTATCATTGGTCAGAGATAGTGTTATTACTGACCAATTCAGTCTTTTTTTTCAGTTAATCAGTCATGGTGTCTTCATTAGAGTGGATACTGACTGCATTTTTTTTTTTCCTTGTAGCTTGAACGTGATGCTGGTCGCTTACTTGATTGTAAAGTTAGGATGAATTTCTGCCCCCTGGGTGCATGTGCATTGGCTGGTACTGGTTTACCCATTGATAGGTTTATGACTTCTGACGCTTTAGGATTCACTGCTCCCATGAGGAACAGGTAAGCACATACTATATTATTGACTAACTAAGTTGTCCATAGCTATCTTCAATTTTTGGTTTTCCTGTACACATAGTATGGTGTACCAGAATTTTTGTTCTGGTACACATAAATTTTGAAATGTTATTTGCTTGTGATTCAATAGCAAATATTCTTCTTCTTCACTTTTTTTTTTTTTTTTTTTTGAGACAAAATTCATGTTATTTGTGAGGTAGATGTTTCCTCCCATGAAGAAATTCAAAAAGAAAATAAAATCATATAGGGCTGTATGATCTTGTTATCCTGATTATGTTAAATTTCTTATGAAAATTTCTAAAATTTCTTGTTAAATTTCTTATCCTAGTCCAATGGTGGAGTAGTATGCCTCTTCCCTCTTCGAAGTGTTGAATTGAATACACTAGTTAAAGGTCTGTATGATCTTGTTATCATTTAGTTAATTGAATGCACTACTTAAAAAAAGTAATTTTGGAAAATGATGAACACAACTTTATCAACATTAGTCTGCAGCCAGTTTCAAAGCAAAGGAATAACAACTGCTGTAATATTTCAGAAAATGAATTAATAGAGACATAAACTCTATTTTTATGAGGAAAATGTTGTGTTTAAGTTGATTAATCCTGTTTTATACATCTACTGTTGTATTGAAGAATGTGTGTTTTGGTTGTTGTTTACTCTGTTTTTGTCATTTGGTAGCAAAGTTTAGCAGCAAAAAAATGATGCCTCATGTTAGAAGTTGTAGTCATAATGTAGACTTAATCACGAGCTATAATTTTACAATATTAAACTTCAGAAAATCTAATCCTTTAAGATTTAGAACAAAACAGAATCTAATCTCTGTAGCTGCTGGACGATAGCAACTGGGGAGGAGGAATATGGCTGTTCTTCAAACTCTGTAGATTCAGAACACTAGTCTTTTGTCTTCATATCATGTATGATAAAAAAGGAAACAAACAACTATGGTTTTGCTAGGGGAAAACACCATAACATCCTGCAATTGAAAATTCTTTCCAACTTTCTTTTCATCCTTTCCCAGAGAGTCTAATTAGATTTATCCTAGTCCATTTGTTTTTGTCCTAAAAAAAAAAAAAGTGAAAGGTCTGTATTTGAGAATGGAGATGACAGTGAGGTGGGGTTTCCAAAGTAAATATCATAATTCACACACAACTAGCTAATTAGATTATTTGACTTGCTGATCAATTAGCTCTCTTAATTGTTTTAAGATGGACAAGGCAGGAAACAAAAGCTGTACCCATATTCCTTCACTAGTTAGAACAAAAAATTAACGTTGATGATAGTTATTAAAAAAAAAAAAAAAGGCGAAGCTTGATAGCCTAGGCGCACACTATGTTGCGCACCAGTTCCATCTTATATAAATATCACCGTGTGACATTATTGATCACTTCTTCACAGATAGAGTTAAATTGTCTCCTCTTTTTGCTACCTCCTTTTTCTTTTGGGTCTTAGTTCCTTCCAGCAGTACTAGAGGACCAAATGCACTAGTCCTTAGCTATGATTTCTAGGACAGAATGAAGAATCATACCTAGATGGTCGCTTTACTTAAAGGAGAATTTACAAAATACGTAGAACAGAATGAAGTAACAAGCTGATAAGATTATAATAACAGTTTACATTAGGCTGGCTACAAGAAATAGAAAGCAATTCGTCTTGAATGGTCTACAGAGGGACAGGTCCAAGTTTACTTCTCATTTGCTATGAAGGGATGATCTTTACAATGCCAATCAGAACTTCTCCGTAAGTCATTTAGGTTGATGAAGTCAAGATGCAGGTGCTTGTCTTGCCTTTGATGTCTAGCTGGGTCAATTGAGTTATTTCAGTGTAAGAGAACAACAACTGAATTCTGAAATAGTAGATATCCATGTTGTATAGCCACCAGGGGTGCGCTCAAGTCTCAACTAACTCTTATTTTATTATTATTAAATTAAAGATAATTACAAACACCTTATACTTTGTGTGAAAAACCTCTATATTGGATAAGATACGACCTATGGAGAAAAATAAAAACTTGCAGGACATTAGGCATGACACCTTTGATTCTAATTTCATCCATCAATGTTCCGAGTCATGGATTTTTTGACCTACAGTATGTGTAGAAGGAAATAATTCTGTATGTGCAGAAGGAAGTGGAACTAAAAAATGCGAGCATGTTCTTCTAGTTATTACCTTTTTTTTTTTTTGTTTCTGGTACCTGATTGTTTGACCAGCAGGATATGTTCTAGTCATTTCATAGTATCCAGGCCCTAAACTTGGCTCAAGCCTATTTTTGGCTTCATGAATTAGGAAGCCTACTTATTTTAATATCTATTATTTGATATAACCACAAGTTTAATTATAGCAATTACTGTATTACTTTGCTAATAAATCTTTTTTTTTCCCTAAAATTGTTGATTGCCTAGTGTTATGAAGTACCTGAATTTGAAAATCAACTATTAAATTTTTCTAGTAGGAACTTTCAACTTTATTTTAAAAAGAATATTGATATTTTGTTGTGTTTTTATTGCTGTTTTTTTTTTTTTAATATTTGGATTATCACTTTCCTTGTAATCAGTTACTTAATTCGTATAATTATGTTAAGCAACTACTTAGATTATTACTTTTTTCGTTATTAATTAAGATTTGAAATTATTTTTTAAAAATTAGTATAAATACATCATAATCATTTAATCAAATCTGCTGTAATTGGAAAAAAAATGATTGCGATAATATAGTAAATTATTGCATTAAATATTATACAAACCGTTGCATTAGTTGATTCAAAACCACTGCATTAGTCGATTCATAATGTATTATATAAACCGCTGCATTAGTATTTTTAAAACCACTGCATAATGTATTATATAAACTCTTGCATTAGTTGATTTAAAAACACCACATAATGTATTGTATAAACCGCAACATTAGTTGATTCAAAATCGCTGCATAAGCTTTATCTTAAATCGTTGCTATATCACTCTTTAAACTGCTGCATAAAGTTGCACGAAAACAACTGCAATTGAGGGGTATTATGAAACAAAACGAGTTCCGTTGCATTAGATGTTCAAAACCGCTGCATTACCCTATTGCAGTGCCAGTCAAATGTAGCGGCTGGCAAACCGCTGCATTAGAGATAATGTAGCGGTTTTCAACTGCTGCATAAGGTCTAATATGTTCTAGTGGCTTGAAATAATTGATTAAATTTTGAACTAATATGTGTTGCATGAAAAATTTAGTTAGCTGGCTTTTTTTTTTTTTTTCCCCACTTCCTGGCATAGGATTCGATTATGTGACACAGAAGATGGAGAAAGTTGATAAAAATAGCTTCAGCTACAAGTACAGCCTCATTGGTGGTGATGCTTTACTAGACTCAGTTAAGAAAGTCTCTTTTGAGAACCAGTTTGTGGCCTCTCATGATGGAGGATCCATCTGCAAGAGAATCATCAAGTATTACACAAAGGAAGATGCTGACATCAAAGCTACTGAAGAATACATCAAGGAGGCAAAGAAGACAGAGGCATTGTTCAAGGCTGTTGAAGTCTACCTCTTGGCAAATCCTGATCAATATGCCTAAATATGGAACTTCACAAGTTCGTAGTAATTTCAAGTTAACAAAGTCTTTTATGTCTTTCACTACTATAATAAATAAATTGTAGTTATGGCTTTCATGTCTTTTTCGCTTTTTTCTTTTTTAGCCAAAAGGGATATTTAGATTGGTAATAATGACTGCTTGCTGTTATGATAATTTATTTTTTCTAAAGTTAGATTTGATTTGGTGGGCTTGCTGAGAGCTGCGTTATGCTAGTATTCTATACATAAACCTGCAATGTGACATGTATAAGGGAATCCATCAAGTTCTTGAAACAGACTTACTGGTTACTTTGATTTAAGAGCCCAACGGACTTGGTCCGTTCAAAGAAGGACAATCAACTTACCAATTAATCCCAATGTGCATTAAGTCCAGCTCGCTCATAAAATGTCCAGTTAGTTATTTCAAGCAAAGCATTAGAGCTCCTTCCAAAACCAATAGAAGATGAACCTTAAAATTAGATGAAAAGTGAAAATTCCATTTGAAAGAAGGCATGTGGCTAGTGACAAGTAGTGTACAAAAAGTTAGAAGAATAATAAACTTCTAACAACAATGAAACATGACCCTAGACAGTTAGGAATAATGTGAGAATTGCAGCACAAAGAGAAACAGAGCAAGGCATTGAAGCACAAGAAAAGAAAAATACAAATGTATTGCAATGTTAGTAAAGAGGAATATTGAGCACTTTAGCTTGTATTGGAGATATGGGTCCACTCGCTGGAGGTCACGGAGTAGTAGAAACTCTATAAATACCAATTGAAGCCAAAAAGAACAACACGCACAATACCAAATACAAACATACTCTTGCAAATTTTCTAACGGACGAATGAGCATTATCACAATTTCACACTTAAAACTTATTAGACAAGTATCTCGTAGGTAGTAATTTATAGGTGATAATTTATAAGCAATAAGTAGTAGCCATTAATCAATAGGTGATAGCTCATAAGCTAGTAATCGGTTCTTCATCCTTTGTTTGTGTTCGCATCCACCATTTTTATAGTTCCATCATCATATTTTATGTTTGAAATGTCGGTTTGTAAATACTTTTAATTTCTTTTTACTATAAGTTTATTCAATTCATTATTGTAAAAACTATAGTATTGTTTCTATTTTATAAAAATTTCCATTTTGTTCAAGTTTTCCATACCAAACCTCCGATCTTAGTATTTAACTACCAACATTCTTAGTTTTGCGGGTTAAATATTTGATTATGAACTCTAATTATTCTCTAAATTTTTCATTATCTTATTTTTTATTTTTATTTTTTGGAAATGCATCTTCTTCATCATTCAATCTCAAAGCCTTCTTGAAATTTACTACTTAAGATTGTCACTTTATGGAACAAAGCTTTAAAGTGAATACTAAAATAGAAGACCTCAAAACTAAGATTGTGACCTTGTATGAAGAGTTGAAATCTATTGAGATGATTTTTTTTTACAACAACAAGGTCACATTACTCCCATAATTTCAACGAGGCATTTGCAACTTTGCAAGCTCAATTGAGAGTTCTCTCATTATGTGGACAAGGATAAGTCTCCTTTTTAGGCCTCTTAATAGATTTTATAATGCATTTTTATAACATGCAATATTCTTTTATAAATAGATGGAACTCATGTATTCTTACACATGCCTTACACACTTAGTAAATAAAGAACATGACCGTAGTTGATCATGGTAGGGGATTAAAGATACAAAATATACCCAAAACTTTAGGATCAACTAAATGAATATAGCTTTCAATTCATATGATCTTAATAACTAACTAGAATGTCAATTCTTATGGATAAACATGATAGTCATATAAAATTTTATTGGTTGTTTTCCATTCTTTTTGTAATGGATATTGAAAAACATGATAGAAGTTCCATTTGGATCTATATTTTTAGATGATTCCACCCTTCCAATAACTATACCATGATCATTCATTGTGATTGCAAGACCAAATATTGAATTTTCTTAAAATATTATGGTTATTCTTTTAATTCAAGACTTTGATCATTTACCATGGTTTCATAATCTAACTTTGAGTTTTTCTTAAGATCTTGAAATGCATTCATACTTTTAATGCTTTGATCATAACTATTCATAGTGATATCAAGATCTAAATTAGAATTTATATTGTGAACTTGTTGCATCCTAAGACCATAGCTTGTTCTACACCCCCAAAATGTATTCAAAGTGAGGTGACAATGGTTCATGGTTTGCCTCCCAATGTCTTTCATTAACAATTATGCAATTATAGTTTCTAGTCCCTACAAACCTATAATTAGGATCTTTGGTCTTTATAGATTCAGTATATGTAGACTTGTAATTGCAACTAGTTGTCCATATAAAGTCAATATTTATAGACTTGTAATTGAAGCTTTTAGCCCTTGTAGAATCGGTATCTACAAACCGACAATTACGAGTTTCTAGCCCCTATAGAGTTAGTATCTACATATTTGCAATTGGAGATTCTAGCCTCTATAAGATTAGTATTTACATACCTGTATTTAAAGCTTCTAACTCTTGTAGAATTAGTATCGGTAGACCTATAATTAGAG